CCCTCGGCAGGAGTGCCGCCGCGCTCCCAAGCGGCGCACTGTAGCAGTGCGCCACTGGGCCGGCCCTTTTTTGCAACTTTTCTGTACGTCTAAAATTATTTCAAAATAAGAAGTTTAACAAAACAAAATAAGAAAGTAAAAAAACATTATGTGTGTGTCATTTAAAAGTAATAATAATAAATTCTTTTCAAGTGAAACATTCCAAGGTCCTCCAGCAGCCAAGGCATGAGCAAGTAGTCTAAGCGAGGCCAAAACATTCTCCCAGGAGACTGAATCTTGAAGATTCCCAAGACAGAAAACAACAGGCACTGATTCATCACCACAATGATGCCCTGAAATGACTGCCCATTCGATCCTTTCACCATATTCCCCAAAGCTGCCTTAGATTCCTGTATTTCTGGAGCCTGATACTTCACGCTTTTTCTTAAATTCCAAGATCTACATTCAACTTTCCTATAGTATATATTGTTTTCATAAACTAGATGGCTTCTTACTCAAGCATTAAACACCTCTTAGGAGCTCCTCATCACCAGACCTACATGCCCAAATCCTCAATGTCCAATTCGTGTTACCTTCATGAAAATAGTCTTGCTATTCTCAGTCAAAACAAATCTCTTCTACCTCTGAACTCCCTCTATTTAGTATTGGGGTTTCCCAGCATACCCAGAGCCATGTGAAAAAAGACACAATTATGTATTTGTGGAATAAATTTGTTTAATATTCACAATTTATCACCCAGATTTTAAAATTTCTGTAATAGCTATAGTCATTTTGTTTCTTAAGTCACAACAATGACCTGGGTCATTTACATTGAAAAAATTTCATGTACAAAGACCATAACAGAAAAGATTGCTAAAACTGACCACACACATTTTTTGACTTTACTTGACAAAAAAACAAAAGCAAACTCAAAAGGCAAACCCACAAACTGAGAAGATACATTTTCAGGTCATATGACTGACAAAGAGACAATTTCCTATAAATTCTTCACATAAATGAGAAAAAGACCATCAATTCAATAGAAAAGTAAGCAATTCCCAGAAAAGGAAATATGAATAGCTCTTAAGCATATGAAAACCTATTAACAGAAAAACAAATGCAAATAGATCTTAAACAAATGAGAACATGGTCAATTTTGTACATGGTAAGAGAAACGTAAATTAAAACCATCCAGAGATACCATTTGTCACCCATGAAATTGGCAAAGATTAAAAATGTTTGATCAGGGCCAGCCCGTGGCTCACTTGGGAGAGTGCGGTGCTGATAACACCAAGGCCACGGGTTCGGATCCCATATAGGGATGGCCAGTTTGCTCACTGGGTGAGCATGGTGCTGACAACACCAAGTCAAGGGTTAAGATCCCCTTACCGGTCATCTTTAAAAAAAAAATAATAATAAATAAATGTTTGATCAAACACTTTGGCAAGGAGCAACAAGCAGTTAACTTCACCTTATATATACCAGTATTTTTTTCTCCCTTTTAATGTAATTATATATTGGTATGCAACCATCTTAGAGATCCCCCATAGCAGTACATAATAAGCTTTTTTTTTAAACTGGCCACATAGTATTCCATTGTATGGATATATCATTAATTCCCTATTGCTAGACATTTAGGTTGTTTCCAATGTTTTGCTATTACAAACAACTCTGCAATGAATATTTCTGCCAGTATGCCATTTCTCATGTGAGTGTGTATGTAGAGTAAATTTCTAGTGGTGGAATTGCTAAGTCAAAAGGTGTGCATTTGTAATTTTGATAGATATAACCAAATAACTTCAGATTAAAAAATCTCTATCCTTCCCTCCCTCTCTTGAATTTGGAATTTATCATTACCATGCATGGTTTTATCTATGCTTACTACATAGATATATTCATAAATAATATGTAATACAATTTTGAATGTATTAATATTTTATTTAAGTGGGATTATATTGTATTAATTACCTGCAAAGTGCTTTGTTTGCTCAAAATTGCCTAACTCTCCTTGGTCCTTTTCTCTTCCATGTGAATTTTAGGATTAGGTGTTAAATCCCATGAGAAACCTTGTTGGGATTTTAATTGAAATTGCATTGAATTCATAGATTGATTTGGGGATAATTTCCATCTTTATGTAATTGATACTTCCTACTCATGACTGTGGCACACCTTTCTATTTACTCATGTCTTAAGTC